GATAGAGATGTAAACAGGGGTGAGCACAGCTGAGAAAAGAGGAGGGCAGAAAATGGGCCGCCGGATGCCCCACTGTCCTCTGTTGTTTTACCACACCAAGTGGCAGGCAGGGTTTCTCATTCTTTCGTCGCCTTCAGCTGAAAAACTTTTTTCAGCTGTTACTCTGACCTCTGCCTAGAAGATAAAGATGGAAAGTCTGAAGACCATGTTTTCTGACATACTGGTCTCAGCAGCCTGATATGTGCTAACACAAAAGAGATAATCAAAGAACAATACTTGAAACTTGTGGAGAATCTCCTGGGCATATAGTTCTTTTTCACCTTGTAGAGGGGGCTTTATCAGATCTTTGAGTTCTGATTTTGATAACATCGTTCCCTCTCTGATTGTTTTCTTAGTCTCAGCTATTCATTGAAATAATTCTACCTACTCTCCATCTCTCCAGCTAAGAAGTGTCACAGCTGTAACAGCAAAGAGGTTCTATGGTATACATGCAATATTCTATTTACCTTTGAGTCTCACATTACTATCTTTGCACTAGCTAACTACATATTCCATTTTGTAGACCTTTTTTGTTTGCTGCACTCTGTCCTTTTTTATAGCATGCATTTTAGCATCTGAAGTGGTATGCCAATAACATCCAAACCCTGCTGCAATTCAAAATTTTCTTTGAAGTGTTCTACCCTAAAGAATTATCTGAAGTTTGCCTTTCAGACATTTCTATATTTTTCAGAGATCTATATACATGATTTGATATTTGAGAGCTCAAGTCTCCATTTAATTTTTTTTTAATACTTCAGTGAACACATGAAACTTGTCCTTGTTAGCATGGATTAAAATTAGAGTCAGTTGCTTGCTTTGACAGCACATACACTAAAATTGGAATGATACAGAGAAGATGAGCATGGCCCCTTGCAAGGATGACACACACATTCATGAAGCAATCCCTATTTTTATTGAGTTCTGGCAAAAAATAAATAAATAAAATAAACTTAGAGTCGGGCAAACTTAATTAGATAAGTATAAAAATGTTTGTGGGAACCTGATACTTTAGTCCTTCTGGTTTTATTTTCAAGCGAGCACCCAGCCTATGGCTGAACAAGATTTTATATACGTCATCTGAACGTGTGGTCTTATCTATTAAAGGCTGACAAACAGAAGCCAGCAGTCAGAGTAGCACAAGAGTGGAGTGTCTATGGCCTGGCCAGGACACCAGGTACACCTGTTGGCTTCTAGTTCCTCTGTCAAACAGCCAATTTAGGCCAAAATACATACTACAGAAGTGACAGAGCCATGATTCACTCTATTTGTCACCAACTCTGGAACCTGTGGTTTTTGTCCTCTCTAGGAGCTGGCCACAGTGCTGAGAGTCCTGAATTGGTGGCAGTCAGTGAATGCTGTCTAGTGGCTGATAGGTGAGAGTGCAGGTAGCAAGATTTGAAGTTGAAGACCTTGTTCTGCTACTAGAAAACACCCCTGAGTAGTTTGGCATCACCAGTCCAGGAAGAGGCTGGTAGTCTCAGATACATACATGTACCGTTCTTTGCTGCATAAGCTGAGCGAGTTGGCCACTTAGGCAGCCAAAGTTTATGGTAGTCAGAAGTGACCGCACCATATTACCAGGGTCTGAGATTTTCATTACTTTGCATTTGTTGTTTTATCAGACCCTGAACTGGTTTATTTTACAGGAAGCAAGAGAAGGAAAATTCAGAAAGCAGTAGCAAATCACTTACCTATAAAAATGACAAAAATGTTTTTGGTATATTCTTTTACAGCCTAAGGAAATACATTGTAGTGTCTAATCAGGAGAGCATGCAAATAGCTACTTTTAATATGTTCTAACCCCAGCTGCCCGAATGTCACTTCAAAATTTAACACACTAATTTACTAGCTGTTTTTTTAAACCTGAGTGTGTACTTTTTCAATAAACAAATGACTTGGGCTAGGCGCAGTGGCTCACACCTGTAATCCCAGCACTTTGGGATGCTGAGGCAGGCAGATACTTGAACCCAGGAGTCCGAGACCAGCCTGGGCAAAATAGTGAGACCTAATCTCTATTTTATTAATAAAATAAATTACAGAGTTAAAAATAAAAACAAATGACTTGTAGATGATTGCTGACCATTTAGATTTCTAGTGCTGCTGCTATGTAAGCACAGCTATGAGTCATTGAGCTTAGGGCATGTAGTTCTTGTTTTGAAGCCCCTCGGTTCTCAACAAGTAAATGACAGTGGTGAATGATGGGAAGTAGGTTTGGTTTTTGTTTTTGTTTTTTTTAATTAATGGTCATGTGAACTGGAAATGGACGTTTCAATTTTGTAGAACTTATAACTTACGCAGAAACTTGCTTGTTATAAGCAAGTTACCATTGTAAAAACTAATAGGGATTTCTAACATAGTTTCTTTTATTTTTCTCATAGTGCGCAAGAGACGAGTTGAAGGAGATCACCAGTAAGTCTGCCAAGGTGTAATCTTTGGAAGACTTCAGAAGATCACCAAAGGTTCATGTTGGTGACACCAGATGTAAAATTTTCCTGGGTAGAAGGGAAAAGACTGGAAAAATTTTTTTAGTGATATGCATTTTTTTTTTTTTTATAGTTTAAGTTGTTATCAGTTTCAAATTGTAAAATCAGTAATGTGATATTTTATATTCTGAAACATTTCTACTTTCTGCTGAAATCAATTTTAATTTAGTTTAATCAAATGATTTATGATGACTCTTGAGCAAAAAAATACAATTGTAAAAAATTTCACAGGTCATTTGTGTAGAATAATTTGAACATTGTGAGGACCAATCTTTTTTAAATCAAAAGGGATATTGCTGGTATCAGAATTGTTATTGCTTCATTTAGACATAAAACACTTCAGTATTTTCTTCACTCCATGACCTGGAGACTTCTCTAAATTTTTAAAAAATTTTTAAAATACATGAACTTTGCAAGGGTGTGATTTTTCTCTATGAAGAGAACAAAATGCCAGAATTTTAAAACAGTTGACTCAAAATCTGGTCATCTGTGTTGGAGCTAAAGCAGGTCTCCAGGGAGAGAGGTGGTCATCTGTGCATTCCAGGTTACTGCACTTGTCTGATGAGACACAGCAACACCCAGGTTTTCTTAAAACAAAGTCATCAGCTTTGCTAGGTTACATACTTTGTTTAAAAGTATAGTGAGGTCTAAGTTCATTCCAGTGTTTCATTTTAATAAAGTGAGCATTATTAAATTTTTGTGAAAGCTAATAGTAAAAAATAAAAGCTGTTTTCACCGCCCCCCCCCCAAAAAAAGGTATACAGCCAACTCTTAATTATTTAGGGTAAGAGAAAAAAGAAAACTGTTAAACAATGAAATCAAAGAGAATAAATATGATAGAGTTCCAGTATGAGGCACTTGTAAAACAGTTGTTTAAACTGATGGTTACTGTAAGTCAACTGGAAGCTAGCATGTATGTAAATTACTTGGTGTTACACAGTATCAAGAAGTTCCTATTTGCAGTGCAGAATTGCATACAGTATTTAATCACTGCTACAGATCTTCCAGCCAAGAAGGAAAACTGCTATTCTTCATAAATCTAATTTTTAGTATATGCTTCCTTTCATCTTATACTTTTGTCCATATTTATAAAAGTCATTTCTATAATAAAAGCAGTCTTTCTTGCTCAAAGTATTAAAGTGAACAATTGAACTAGAGTACTGTGATTGGGAGACTGATTTGAGACTGCAGAGCTGATGCTGGTGGGAAGAGGATCTGGACTTGTGTTCATGTTCTGTCTCAGGGCAGCCCCTGGAGCAGGAGATGGCAGAGGCATTTACAGCTGCAGAAAACAGGGAGGAATGGAATCTGAGGTAACCCTGGCCTCAAAATTCAGGCCTGGCTGTGTCATTTACAGAGATGTTTCTGAAGGGAAAAAATCTCATTTCTGAGGGAGGCAAGGTAGCTAATCATTATTAATTTTTTTTTAACTTTTTGGGCTGGGCGCAGTGGGAAGCCAAAGTGGGTGGATCACTTAAGGTCAGGAGTTCGAGACCAGCCTGGCCAACATGGTGAAACCCTGTCTCTACTAAAAATCAAAAAATTAGCTGGGTGTGGTGGTACACACCTATAATCCCAGCTACTCGGGAGGCTGAGGCAGGAGAATCACTTGAACCTGGGAGATAGAGGTTGGAGTGAGCCGAGATCGTACCACTGCACTGCTGTCTGGGCGACAGAACAAGACTCTGTCTCAAAAAAAAAAAAAACAAAACAAAAATACTTTTTGAAATTGAATTGCAATACGTCTGCTACTTTGGCTTGGGCTGGACAGTTTATCTAACAAGCAAGGCAGCTTCTTGTGTGCTCTGCTAATAAGCCTTCTTAATAGACTAAGCTTCCCTCATAAGAACTGTGGTGTGTGTCTTTGGTTTTTTTGTTTTGTTTTGTTTTGGTTTCTTTTTTTGGTTTTGTCTTGTTTTGTTTTGTTATATCAGTATCCAGTGTTTTATAGGGGCCAAAGATTAACTTGCACTATTCCCTGTCAGTTAAAGGCCACTGATATTTTTCTAAGTTAGCAAGGCTCACCTGCTTGCTTTGTTGCCTCCCTTCCTCCATCCCTCTCCCTTCCGACTTTCTCTGTTTCCCTATTTCTCTCCCTCCCTCTCTTCTTCACCCCTCTTCCCCTCCCCGCGCCCATATGCAGCTTTTTGATTGTATTTGGTTTTGTAGAGACTGCACAGTTCCAGCAAGATTGAGAGTCAGGCATGGAGCAGGCATCTCAGGCTACCAGAAAGAATTGGTCACCTAGACTTTCAGTCAGGCATCCTCGTTTGCATTGTCCTGTAAGTCAATCAGTTGATAACTAGTACCCCCTTCATCCCTTAAGTTTTTTGGTTTTTTTTTTAATATAGGTAAGTGGGACTCTACCTATAATTTTGCCTCATACCTATGGGTAATATCTTTTTCCTTTATTGTTTATCGAAGCATGAAGTTGAGTATTTTGCTTGTACCATTTCAATTCTGCATTATAATAGTTCATTGTATAACTGAAAGAAAGGATTTCTTCATAAGTAACATTAAATATGAACATTCATCCAATTGAATATAGAAAATCTTTCCAAAAGTATAAGGGAGAAAAATCGTGTTTACTTCAATCTTTAAAAATCTGGCACCTCTTAGTAACTTTCAGTATTTCTAAATTGCTCTAAAATTTTATAATAAATAGATTAGGGTTTTGCAGTAATCTTAATTTTTAAGCCAAAGGTTTTCTGAGACCTTAGGTTTTGTAGTCTAACCAGCTTATCTGGTTCTGTAAAAGAATATTCTTTGTGTTTTTAAATTGCTATTTTTAAAAAAGCTTTTTATTACCCATTTTATAAAATGTTATACTCATATTTGTCTGAATTTTCCCAATATTCCTACATGAAATTGTATGTATTAAAAACTCAATATTAGTGGCAAATATTAATACTATTAAAATGGATTTTGGTGCTATATTCTTATAGCTAAAGCCTAGTAGAAGTCTCAAGAATAGGTGAAATACACTTTCAAAGGTTGCCTGTCATTAAAAGACCAAATAAGCATTTTTGTATTAAATAAATTAGCAGATGGTTAGAGACTTCGAGGAGAGTTAGTTTGGTCATTTAATTGCGACTTCATGTTATTTGAATGAAATAACCCACATCCTTGCTTTGTATAAGAGATGCACTCTGGAGAAGTTACATGTAAATAGACCTTTATAAATTGTTTTCCAGTTGACCAAGTATCTGTTGTGTTTTCATTTAAAAAGAGGATTCCATGACATAATAAGAATTATTTTTAAAAATGTTTGGGGCTGGGCGCGGTGACTCATGCCTGTAATCCTAGACTTTGGGAGGCCGAGGCGGGCGGATCACCTGAGGTTGGGAGTTCGAGACCAGCTTGACCAACATGGAGAAACCCTGTCTCTACTAAAAATACAAAATTAGCCAGGCGTGGTGGCACACGCCTGTTATCTCAGCTACTCGGGAGGCTGAGGCAGGAGAATTCCTTGAACCTGGGAGGCGGAGGTTGCGGTGAGCCAACGTCACACCATTACACTCCAGCCTGGGCAACAGGAGTGAAACTCCATCTCAAAAAAAAAAAAAAGTTTTGATAAAATGTTACTCATATCATGTTGTACATTATATCTAACTTTTGCTGTCTTTAAAATAAGATGACAGCCTTTATGGAGTTTTATAAAATCTTATTTAGGGTCTGTGTTCCCAGGGTTGCCTCACTTTTTCCCTATAAAACCAGGAACCGTTGTTAACCTCTCAGCAGATGCAAGGATCATGCTTTCTCTGGAGTCCTTAGTCACTTCCATTCTTTGCAAGTTTAGTACTGCCCAACTTCACTCATTCTACAGTGCTACTGCACTTCGAATGTATTGACCCATGGCACCCAAGAGAAGCAAACATATGGATGCACTAGAGACAACTCGGGTTGCTGCTCTCAGTTAAGGGCCGTGAGTTCTTGGGGTCTAAGTATCTGTAAAATTACCCTTTCCTTCACTGATCATTAATGTTTCTGGATATTTCTTGCCCTAAGACTTGCTTACCAACAAAGCAAAGAAACTCTTCACTCATTATTTTTAAATTGAGAAAATAGTATTCAGAGGTAAAGACTTCTATATTCTTTTTTGAGACTGAGTCTCACTCTGTTGCCCAGGCTGGAGTGCAGTGGTGCAATCTCAGCTCACTGCAACTTCCACCTCCCAGGTTCAAGTGATTCTCCTGCCTCAGCCTCCCAAGTAGCTGGGATTACAGGCGTCCGTCACCACGCCTGGATAATTTTTTGTATTTTTAGTAGAGACGGGGTTTCACCATGTTGGTGGGGCTGGTCTCAAACTGACCTCAGGTTATCCTCCCAAAGTGCTGGGATTACAGGCTTGAGCCACCACACCCAGACTTACTCTTTTTTTTTTTTTTTTTTGAGATGGAGTCTTGCTCTGTCGCCCAGGCTGGAGTGCAACGGCTGAATCTCAGCCCACTGGAAGCTCCACCTCCCGGGTTTACGCCATTCTCCTGCCTCAGCCTCCCGAGTAGCTGGGACTACAGGCCCCCACCACCACACTTGGCTAGTTTTTTGTATTTTTTTTAGTAGAGACGGGGTTTCACCGTGTTAGCCAGGATGGTCTCGATCTCCTGACCTCGTGATCCGCCCGTCTCGGCCTCCCAAAGTGCTGGGATTACAGGCTTGAGCCACTGTGCCCGGCCTTTATGCTTATATTTTAATTTGGTCATTCTTTCTTAGATCTACAGATTGAACATCCCTAATTGAAAACTTTTTGAGTACTAACATAGTGCTCAAAGGAAATGCTTATTGGAGCATTTAGAATTTCAGATTTTCAGATTAGGGATGCTGAACTGGTGTAATGCCCTGTATTTCAAAATCCAAAATAATTTGAAATCTGAAACACTTATGGTCCCAGCATTTTGGATAAGGGATACTCAACCTGTATTGATTTTTCTCCACTGTAATTCAGTTCTATAAGTTCTTCCCTATAAAAAATGAACGAATTAGAAATTTTATAATAAAACATAATATATTTTATTAATTTTAAGCCCTGTCTTGCAGTCTGATTGTTCAGAAAGGTCAACCTAGAAAAAAGACATGGCTAAGTAAACTATTGTAAGCCATAACTAAGTATTTTGGAAAGCCTTCATTAACACATGAAGAATTTTGGCCAAGCACTGTCTTATGCCTGTAATCCTAGCACTTTGGAAAGCTGAGGCCGACGGATCACTTGAGCTCAGGAGTTTGAGACCAACCTGGGTAACATGGCAAAACCCCATCTCTACAAAAAGTACAAAAATTATCTGGGTGTGGTGGTGCATGCCTGTAGTCACATCTACTTAGAAGACTGAGGCGGCAGAAGTGCTTGAGCCTGGGAGGTGGAGGTTGCAATAAGATGAGATCATGCCGCTGCACTCCAGCCTGGGCAATGGGAGTGAAACTCTAGCTCAAGGAAAAAAAAAAAAAAAAGAGCTGTACTCTTAGTACTTTGGGAGACCAAGCAGGGAGGATTACTTGAGCCCAGGAGTTTGAGACCATCCTGGATAACATAGCAAGACCCCATCTTTACAAAAAATTTAAAAATTAGCCAGACACCTGTACTGCCAGCTACTTAGGAGTCTAAAGTGGGAGAACTGCTTGAGCCTGGGAGGTTGAAGCTGCAGTGAGCTTTGATCATGTGACGGCATTCCAGCCTGGGTAATAGAGTGAGACTCTGTCTCCAAAAAAAAAAAAAAACCCAGCAGTTTTTTTGTTGTTGTTTTTGTCTTTCACTTAGGACACCTGCTCTAAAGGCTAGATAAAAATAGATTGTAATGGCCGGGTGCAGTCGCTCACACCTGTAATCCCAGCACTTTGGAGGCCGAGGTGGGAGGATCACTTGAGGTCAGGAGTTCAAGACCAGCCTGGCCAACGTGGCGAAACCCCATCTCTACTAAAAATACAAAAAATTAGTTGGGCATGGTGGTGTGCACCTGTAATTCCAGCTACTAGGGAGCCTGAGGCAGAAGAATCACTTGAACCCGGGAGGTGGAGGTTGCAGTGAGCCGAGATTGCACCATTGCACTCCAGCCTGGGTGACAGAGTGAGACTCCATCTCCAAAAAATATATGTATTAAGAAACACCACCAGCAGTGTTTTGTTAATATAGCTGTAACAAGTTATTACATTCTTTTTTTTTTTTTTTTTAAGATGGAGTTTTACTCTTGTCGCCCAGGCTGGAGTGCAGTGGTGCAATCTCGGATCACTGCAACCTCCGCTTCCTTGGTTCAAGCGATTCTCCTGCCTCAGCCTCCTGGGTAGCTGGGACTACAGGCGCCCACCACCATGCCCAGCTAATTTTTGTATTTTCAGTAGAGATGGCGTTTCACCATCGTGGCCAGGCTGGTCTCGAACTCCTGACCTCTTAATCCACCCACCTCAGCCTCCCAAAGTGCTGGTATTACAGGTGTGAGCCACCGTGCCCAGCCCAAGTTATTACATTCTTAAGACAATCAGACACCTCTTAGAGTCTACATATATGAAGTTTTACTCCCTTTTCTGCACTCAGTATGTCTTAATTGATGCAAAGCAATTAATTGGCCTAAAATGTTTCAAATATTATAGTCTATACATTCAGAGAGTAAGGTTTAAGAATGAATTATTGGTGCTTCTTGATGGGTGTATATAGCAGTTTTTAGAAGTTTAAATTTCACCTGTACTCAGAAAGATAAGCTTTTGATTCAGTGGTTTCAAATTTTTAGATCAATCCATTTAAGAATTGTTTTTTCAAATGTATATACACGTATAACATAAAAATTTTTGTAATTTCAAATGTGTTTTTTGGATGAATTATTATATTTGGTTTTAGTTACATTTAAAAGCTTGAAAATTACCTTTGTAACAATCATTTGAGTATCATTCATTGTCAAATGAAATCAGGTATTTACATTTTTTTCTAATGCTAAAATATCCAACATTGTAATTGCCTTATTTTTCCATTTTTATAAGTATAAAAGCAATGAATTTTAACACTGATATTTAAGTAATACAAAATATTATCCAAATTCATAACAGCACAGTGAAGTTTCTTTTGAAGACTGTACTAGAAGCATTTAGAACTTAACCAATATATACTGGGATAAATCGTTTCAATAAAGTTTTTCAAATATTCTGTAAACTTGGACTTTTTGAAAAAGCATGTAATCCCTTTCATTCCTAAGTTCTAAAATTCATTCCTTACATCCTTCTTCAAGAACAAGTTTATCAATTTCCCTGAGTTATTCAGTCCTACCTGTTATGGACTGAATATTTGTATCCACACCTGCCCCCCACCCCAAATTCACATGTTGAAGCCCTAACCCCCAATGTGATGGTATTTGGCGATGGGGCCTTTGGAAGGTAATTAAGGCTAGATAGGGTCATAAGGTTGGTCCCCTTATGATGGCATTTGTGTTCTTATACAAAGAGACAGGAGACTCTCTCCATCACGTGAAGATACAGCAAAACAGCAGCTGCCTGCAAGCCAGGAAGGGAACCCTCATCAGGAACCAAACCATGATCTCGGACTTCCCAGCCTCTAGGAACGTGAGCAATAAATTTCTGTTATTTAAGCCACTCAGTCTATGAATCATGTAAAATTAGTTATAATAGTTGAACACTTTTACTCATAAAAATAGTAATTTCATAAGGTTCAACCTAATATCATCAGTACTAGGCCCTGTCTGTTCATAAAATTGAATTGAGTTGACAAATATGAAAGAGCAGGGTCGGACAAGTGCGGTGGCTCACACCTGTAATCCCAGCACTTTGGGAGGCCGAGGCAGGTGGATCACCTGAGGTGAGGAGTTCAAGACCAGCCTGGCCAACATAGTGAAACCCCGTCTCTACTAAAAATACAAAAATTAGCCAGGCATGGTGGCACATGCCTATAGTCCCAGCTACTCAAGAGGTTGAGGCAGGAGAATAGCTTGAACCCAGGAGGTGAAGGTTGCAGTGAGCCAAAATCGCACCACTGCACTCCAGTCTGCGTGACAGAGCAAGACTCCGTCTCAAAAAAAAAAAAAAAAAAAAAGGCTGGGCGTAGAGGCTCACGCCTGTAATCCCAACACTTTGGGAGGCCAAGGCGGGCTGATCACCTGAGGTCAGGAGTTCAAGACCGGCCTGGCCAACATGGCAAAACCCCCTCTCTACTAAAAATACAAAAATCAGCTAGGTGCAGTGGCGAGTGCCCATAATCCCAGCTACTCAGGAGGCTTGAGACAGGAGAATCGCTTGAGCCCAGGAGACAGGTTGCAGTGAGCCGAGATCGCGCCACTGTACTCCAGCCTCAGTGACAGGGTGAGACTCCGTCTCAAAAAAAACAGGGAAACATGTAATAGGTTTGAGGAAACTTAAGGATAAAAGTTAAATAATTTAAAGTTTTCAGAGTTTTCCTAACTTAGGGGAATAAAGAAATTGACCTGGAATCTTTAATGTCATTCTCCCTTCTGAGAGTGGCTGTTGAGCTTCATATTCATGTACAGGAAGCCTCGATGCATATTCCCTTTGGTGAGTCAGGGAGACTCGGGTGCTTGAGTTGTGAGCTGCTCCCCTGAGTTCAAGAGGACTTGAGTGCCAGGGACTGGCTGTGAGGCAACAGTGCCCTCACCATGTCCTCCAAAGCAGTCCAACTAAAAATGCTCAGCCTGGTGCTACCACTGCTCTTACAGGTACCAAATAGTGGGAGTGGCTTGACCACTTGTGAGTCTAAAATTGCCAAACATTTTTTTCCTTCAACTGTTAAGCTTTCCTGCATGGTCTGCAAAGGTCGAGGGCTTGTAGATCCCAACCCAGTCCCCCAGCCCCTGTCCTGTTCACAGACGTAGCAGATCCTCAAGGCCAGCCCCTTAGAAAGAAACCTGATGTTAAAATTAAGTTGTGCTAGTACCCTTCATTGTTCTGAATGAGTCTCTCAATTCTTCTTTAGAAGCTAATGCTAATTGTGAATGTGTTTAATATACAAGCACAAAATTATGCTGTAAAAGTATAAAAGGGAAGGAAATAGAATTATAAAATGGGATTTTTGGCATGGTGAAATGGGCTATTTTTTTTTCCCCTTGATCATTTCTATTTAACAAAACATTTTAAAATATATATCTAGTATTCTCAGAGGTAAAGAAATATAAACATTGAATTGAAGGATTTATGTGGTCAAATCTAAAGCCCCCCTAGTTCAAGAAACTGATGTCAGAGAAGGGACTGCCCAACACAACAGCATTTGTTTGTTCATTCAGTAGTTTTTAGGTTCTATTATGTTCCAGCTGTTGTAGCAATCACAAAACTAGAAATCAAATCTGGTATTTTGTTTCCCATTGCACTTTTCCCTAAACCTAATGGTGCCTGTTTATCTCAGGTAGATATTTTGGGTATCTTCATAAGGTCACTAAAGTATTAGCCCAGCATTGTGATCACTATGCATGGAAGATTCTAACCCTTGTCTCAGAAAAGCTTACTTGTTTACTTAAGTAAAAGCTTTGTACAAAAGTCTTAAGCTCTTTAAACCTCAGCTTCCACATCTATAAAAGGGGTATAATAGCACCTGCCCTAAGGATTAGAAGTGGTCAAGCCCACACAGCTCTGGTTAAGTACCAGGTATCCAGTGAGCTCTCCCTGCTGTACCTGCTCTTCCAAGAGCACAGTGCCATATGGGAAATGGAATTAATGCCATACTAAGGGGACTACAGAGCACAGAAAGGCCCCAAACTCAGCTAGGCAGTCCAGGGAGGACATCCTGGAGGAGGCCATAACTGAGCCAAACTTAACAGCAGGAATGCACTAAAACCTAAAATCCACCTACAGTAAACAGTGAACAAAATCCTCCTCTTTGGGAAAAAGTGAATTTTCTAACGTAATGGACTTGCTTTTGAAAACTTTTTATTCACAACTAGGATTATGCAAAAGCAACTCAACTTCAATTAAAACAAGTCATTTCATAATTGTTTTAAAACAAACTGTTGAATACAGTGAGTGCACATTTTAGGGCTTTATATCATCTTCTTCCTCTTCATGCTCTGCTTTCCTCTTTCCAGAAGGTGTGCCTGAATAAATATGAGAGGTAAGACATTTTAAAATAAATTGTTTTTGGAAATTTTATCTAAAATGGTTCTGACCCGACAGTGAGGGAGCCAGCCCTTCATGCTAGAGCTCAGACACCGTCTAGATCAGGCAACTGAATAGGTTTCCCCTAGGCAGTGGTCAAGGCTGAAGAGACACTTTACTTTTTTTTTTTCTTTTGAGACAGAGTTTTGCTCATTTCCCAGACTGGAGTGCAGTGGCGTGATCTCAGCTCACTGCAACCTCCACATCCCAGGTTCGAGCAATTCTTCTGCCTCAGCCTCCCAAATAGCTGGGATTCCAGGCATGCACCACCATGCCCGGCTAATTTTTGTATTTTTAGTAGAGATGGGTTTTCACCATGTTGGCCAGGCTGGTCTTGAACTCCTGACCTCAGGTGATCCACCCGCCTCGGCCTCCCAAAGTGCTGGGATTACAGGCGTGACCCACTACACCCGGCCTACATAGCATTTATATTGTATTATAAGTAATCTAGAGATAATTTTTTGTTTTGAGACAGGATCTTGCTCTGTTGCCTGTGCTGGAGTGCAGTGGCATGATTACGGCTCACTGCAGCCTCAACCTCCTGGGTTCAATTGATCTTCCTGCCTAAGCTTCCTGAGTAGCTGGGACTACCTGCGCTCAGCTAATTTTTTAATTTTTTTTTTTTTGTAGAGATGGGGGTCTCATCTTGGTCTCAGGCTGGGCTCAAATGATCCACCCGCCTCAGCCTCCCAAAGTGCTGGGCTCCCAAAGCACCCAGCCTACAAATGATTTAAAGCGTACAGGGGGATGTGCATAGCTTATATGCAAATGCTAAACTATCTTATATAAGCAACTTGAGCACTTGTGATTTTAGTATCCTCTGAGTCCTGGAACCAATCCACCATGAGTACTGAGGGACAACTGTGTGTTGTGTAGAGAGAGGAAAAAATAAATGAACACACAGTGACCACTGTTGTCACTGCAGTGTTTTTCCTGTCTGTATCTCTAGAACCTAGAACAGAGCATGTGTTCAGAAACCATTCAATGAATTAATATGGCCAATGGGCAATACCATAGTGATTCTCTTATATAATTCATACTTAAGGCCAGGCACAGTGGCTCACGCCTGTAATCCCCACACTTTTGGAGGCTGAGACAGGCAGATCACTTGAGGCCCAAGAGTTCAAGACCAGCCTGGCCAACATGGCAAAATCCCATCTCTACTAAAACACACACACACACACACACACACTCTCTCTCTCTCTCTCTCTCTCTCTCTCTCTCTCTCTCTCTCTCTCTCTCTCTCTCTCTCTCTCTGTCTCTCTCTCTCTCTCTAGCCGGGCATGGCGGTACATGCCTGTAGTTTCAGTTACTCAAGTGGTTGAGGCACAAGAATTGCTTGAACCTGGGAGGCGGAGGTTGCAGTGAGCCAAGACTGTGCCACTGACTCTAGCCTGGGCAACATAGCAAGATTGTCTCAAAATAAAATAAATAAATAAATAAATAAAAGACTTAAAATTTATTTGTACCTGTGATCTTATAAAAGGAAAAGAAAACAAAGGAAAATATTTTTATAACAAATGAGATAACCCCTCAACTACTATTACATTGAAACAATAAGGACACCCAGTTTTAAGCCAGGCACCATAGCTCACGTCTGTAATCCCAGCACTTTGGGAGGCCAAGGTGGAAGGATTGCTAAAGGCCAGGAGTTCGAGACTAGCCTGAGCAACATATTGAGACCCCTTCTCTACAAACCATTTTAAAAATTAGCCAGGCATGGTGGTGCACGCCTTTCGTTACAGCTACTCAGAAGGCTTTGGCAGGAGGATCACTTCAACCCAGGAGATTGAGGCTATAGTGAGCCATGATCATACCACTGCATTCCAACCTGGGCAACAGAGCAAGACCCTGTCTTAAAAATAAAATAAAATAAAAGGCCGGGTGTGGTGGTATTGGTATCTCATGCCTGTAATCCCAGTACTTTGGGAGGCTGAGGTGGGAGGATCACCTGAGGTCAGGAGTTTGAGACCAGCCTGGCCAACATGGTGAAACCTCATCGCTACTAAAAAGTACCAAAATTAGCCAGCCTTAGTGGCAGGTGCCTGTAATCCCAGCTACTTGGGAGGCTGAGGCAGGAGAATCACATGAACCTGGGAGGTGGAGGTTGCAGCGAGCTGAGATTGTGCCACTGCACTCCACCCTGGGTGACAGAGTGAGACTCCATCTCAAATAAATAAATTTTAAAAGATACCCAGTGTCCCACAATGAACATGGTAGACCACCCTTGCTCTACCCACATGAAGCAATTTGTAGTTCTGTAGCTGAGACTTGATATCTCAGGCCCTGCACCTTTCTTTACAGGCCTTTCCATGTTCCTAGAGTGCCTAACCTGGCCTGTGTGCTTGCAAGCTTCTGCTCATTCTTCAATACCCAGCAGAGACTTCCTTCTCCATGCAGCCTTCCAAGACCCACCCGAGCACAGGTATCAGACCTTTGGGTCACTCCTAGTCCTACTACTGCATTTATCTCACTGGATTTCAGTCAAGTGTGTAGACAGCTAATTTGTGCATGCCTGGTCTGTGAGCTCTGTTCCCAGCAGTTGGCTCCTGAGCACAGGGTAAACTCTGAGAATTGACTACATTTGGTCTTACTTCATCATTACTGAGTTTCTTTGCTCTCACTAATCTTTGAGTCTTATCTTCTGACCCCTGGTCACTGTCTGAGGAATAGATGCTGGCTTGTTCCTCTGAAAGCAAAGGAATTTAAGACATGGGATTCACCTTCAAAGATGGTTTATTCCTCAGTGTTTCTTCTGCCAAATATTGTTACTTCCCACTGTACATTTTTCCTGAAGGGTCAACTTTTTTTAAAAGTTTCAGTGGGAAGGTAAATAGAACTTTCAGACATGCTGAAATGACTAGATTTGAGAGGTTTTGTTCTCAGGTTATTTGATCACTTTTAAATACATACACATCAGTTTTAAGAACTGTGAAGCTTAAATATTGGGTCTTTAATTATACAAGCAAAGGAACTGCCTTATATACATTTCCTTCCACAAGGACATAAATTGTTTAATTGATTTTATTTGGAGGATGCCATGTTTTCTTTTCTTTTTCTTTTTTTTTTTTTTTTTTTTGAGACAGAGTTTGCTCTTGTTGCCCAGGTTGGAGTGCAGTGGTGCAATCTTGGCCCACTGCAACCTCTGTCTCCCAGGTACAAGCGATTCTCCTGTCTCACCCTCCCGAGTAGCTGGGATTACAGGCATCCGCCACCACGCCTGGCTAATTTTTCTATTTTTAGTAGAGATGGGGTTTCACCACGTTGGCCAGTCTGGTCTTCAGCTCCTGACCTCAGGTCATCTGCCTGCCTCAGCCTCCCAAAGTGCTGGGATTACAGGCGTGAGCCACTGCGCCCGGCCAGATGCCATATTTTCACAGCTAATCTTTTCTGTGGGAGAGAAAACAAAAAGGCTTTCGTACTTTTGTCCTCAATAAATAGTAGGACAAGGAGTAACAGCTCGCCAGAGCAAAAGCAGGCACTGCCACCCTGAAATGATGAAATGTGACCTCCATACCTGACTCACCTTGGAATTCACCTTGATAATAGTTTTTAATAGCAGCCAGGCTGAAGGTGTCCTTGCTTTCCTCCTCCACACCGTCACTGCCAGGGTCCTGGTAGGAGACACTTGGCTCCTGCTGGTAGCGCTTCTCCCGCAGATGGATTGCCTGAGACTCCCGGTGAGTGGAAGCCCTCAAGCGTTCCTCTTTCTGTAAAGAAGCAAATAACCTCTTCAGCCTAAAACCAAAACTTGTGCCCTCTTGCATCTACTTTTACCATAAAGAACACATAATGCGTAGTCCAGGGTAACAGCTGTCCCATGTGTCTTTGGGGTACCATATTCCCCATCACACCTCTGTTACTCCACGTGGATCCTTTGGTTTGCAGGTGTGAAGGCAATGCAAGGGTGAAGAGGCAGAAGGGGCCAGGTGCAGTGGCTCACGTCTGTAATCCCAGCAATCTGGTAGGCCAAGGCGGGCAGATCACTTGAGGTCAGGAGTTTGAGACCAGCCTGGGAAACATGGCAAAACCCCATCTCCACTAAAAAATTCAAAAATTAGGTGGGGGTGGTGACACACGCCTGTAGCTGTAGTCCTCAGCTACTCAGGCGGCTGAGGAAGAAGAATCACTTGAACTTGGGAGGCAGAGGTTTCTGTGAGCCAGGATCATGCCACTGTAGTCCAGCCTGGCCGACAGAGCGAGACGCCATCTCAAAAAAAAGAGGCAGAAGGGTGCCCTGACACTAACCGGCTTGATTGGCATTGGCACAGGCCTATCCTCCGGAGCCGTGCTGCTGTTCTGTTGGCACAGGCCTGTCCTCCGGAGCCGTGCTGCTGTTCTGTGCTGCCACTCGGCCCAGAGAGAAGCAACCCACCCGAACTGACCACCTGGAGCAGGAGAGGCTGTTTCTGTTCATCCCTGAGCCACAACGACCTGACCTGCCCAGGCTCCACCAAACTCCCATGGCTCCCAGATACTCTTGTCCTGACCCCTCAACCCAGAGCTCCCCATAGCTCCAGTGACAGAATGGAGAGGCCTTACTAGGGGACAGTTCTTGAGCCACAAGGTAGACTCCATTTTTTAAAATCTGCCTGGCATTTCACACATTGGGGTTTACAATGTATGTTTGTGAAACGTTACATTTTTTTAAATCATCAGTTTTCTAGATTTCAGAGTCCTTTGTTTGGTAGTCTCACCAGCAGCCACTGACATTACTGTGGTTAACTACACACTTAGAAGGTGAAGCTGGTTCCCTGATGACTGCAAGAAATAAAACAGCAGTGGCAATAAGAAATGGTGAATTAATGTTCTGGAAAACATAGGTCTTACTACTCCAAGTGTCCCAGGATAAAGCTTACCGAACATACCTTCATCACTTCTGTGTGTTGGCCTTCAGGATCACGACCCGCCATTGGTAAGATTCTAATTTTCTGTGTCTTTGAACTTCTATTAGCAAGTGGCAGGGTCATCTTTCTGTATGTGGCACTGTCAGAGTGAGGTCTGCCATGAAGTGGACAAAAATGTCTCACTGGTCACTATGAACATTTGGAGGCAATCATACCCATAGCAAAAACACCTGGGGACAAGGACCTCGCACTCAGCAGACAGAGGAGGCAGGATCACAGTTCTTCCTTCTCCAGCCTCCTGAGAAACTCCTCCCTCTGCCCCACCTCCTGGGGAAAGCTAACTGGGCTAAAGTGGGAGTGCAGCAGAAGTGAGGAGAGGCAGGTGGCAAGGTCAAAGTATTTTACAAAGAATATCCCCGACTGCAGTCAGAGAGAGGAGAAGAGACGGAATATGAAATCTCAGTTCCCAGAGGGAGGTGCAGATGCCAGAAGGGACATTTAGAGAACTAACAATGAGTCTCTCCATCTGGAAAAAATTGGAAGTCAAAGCAAGGAGGCAGGTCACCGTAGCAGCAGGGGCCTTATAACAGCCCAGGGGGATAATACAGCTAGACCAGGAGTCCTGGGTGGAAAGAAATGTCTTCCTGACTACAGGAAGGCAGCTTTTAATTATGTATGTCAGAGGGGAGGAGAATGATCCTTAGGGGAGAGTCTCTGGAAGAGAGAGCATGGCTACAGAGAGATGGGACGTCCAGAATGAGATGATGCCAGGCAGTCAAATATCCCAGTGTGGAGCACAGGGGACAGTGAAAAAAAGCAAGCTCAGAATCACACGTCTTTTAGGACGCTATTCTAGGAGAGATGATTAAGAGACTGGATTGAGCACCACTCAGCACTTGTGCCAGGTCTCTGTGTGATGTTCTATGTGTTATTTGGCTTCATTGATACAACATCCCTGTGCAGTAGATGTTGTTATTGCCATTTTATAGATAAGGAAGCTAGAAACTAGTGAGATTGCAACCCTTCCTCAAGATTACATAACCTGAGAGCTGTCCCTATTTATAGTCTTTAAAAAGACCAACAGATATACTGAATATGTTTTACATACTATGACATCCATTCATTTAAGTATACAATTAAACAGTTTTACAACCATGAACCCTGTCTGATTTTAGAAAACTTCCATGTCCCCCAAAAGAGCGCTTGTCTTTTAAGTACTCCACCTCTGGAGGAAAGCCTACTCCTAATCAACAGTACTGTGTCCTTCAGAGGGAAGGCATGGAGAAGGGGCCACAACAGTAAGCTTAGCTGGCCACGGCATCTGACTGCTCAGGCACAGGCTGCAGCAGCCTCAGGCAAGGGTCTGTTGCCAGCACACACCAGCACTATTCTGATGATGGCCTAGCTTCCCATGTCAATTTCACTCCAGGGAAAGGACCTGCTGAGCAGCAGAGCTGCAAGGACAAATCCTCCAGGCTTCTTACCAAGTGTATTGATCATTGTGGATTAACATACCTACATTCTGGGTTATAATCACTCTCCTGGGAATTCTGATAGGATGAACTGGCTCCCTGAGCAGTTCAGCTTGGAGTCAACTTAAAAGGTGTATGAGAACTAGACCGTGGTCCAGGGTTGGGTTGTACTATCTCTACTTTGTCACTCCTTAACTGCAGGTAATCATGTGTCGGTGTGAATAGTTACCTAAAGGTAAGTTTGGATTTAAAGATGGCTTGTCCCTGCAGACCAGTGTCTTCTCTTATAAACAGGTGGATGTAATTGCCCAGCAGCGGGGCTTTGTACACATCAAACACTTCATTGCCTAAATGCAGGGACATGCTGGAAATGAGAAACAGTTCAAATATTAGGGTGGATATTTAATGAGTCCTACGGCTTCCATTCTGCCATGTGAGCTTTGCTTAAAATAGTGTGGAACTGCTAGATCCTGTCCTCATACTGAATTCATAGGAAAAGCAGAAAAGATACTGTAAATAACCTGTCTCCTTCCAAAGTAAAAAGTGGTAAAAATCTATCCTCTTAATTGTTTTGTAATTTTACAAATCTCTACCACTTCATTAGCAAAGCAGAAACAAGTTTTCAAAAGTATCAATTTGTCATGTCTGATATCTCACCAATGGGAGCTATCTTTAGTCTTTCACTTCAGTAAGGTAGATACAATGGCTTTTGTCACATCTTCAGTTCATTTCCGAAGTCTCCACCAGCACAGCTATAAGACCTCTACCCTATTTACTTCTCTCAGGTTTCCTAGGTAATTCCAAAGACCTAGATTTTTGTAAATCCTTTAGTGAAAATGACCCCAGGCCGGGCGCAGTGGCTCATGCCTGTAATCCCAGCACTCTGGGAGGCCGAGGCAGGCGGATCACCTGAGGTCAGGAGTTCGAGACCAGTGTAGCCAACACAGTGAAACCCCGTCTCCACTAAAAATACAAAAATTAGCCGGGCATGGTGGCACATGCCTGTAATCCCAGCTACTCAGGAGGCTGAGGCAGAATAATTACTTGAGCCCAGGAGATGGAGGCTGCAGTGAGCCAAGATCACACCACTGCACTCCAGCACTCCAGCCTGACAGAGCGAGAGTCTGTCTCAAAACAAAAAGAAAAGAAAATGACCCCAAAAGAAGTTTCTACAAAGAAAACCTTACTCATCCCAGGCCTCCCTCTTGGCATGTCAGTATTTTTCAGGCATTTTATGCTCACCTTCTATCTGACCACTTGACCATCCGAGCATTGCTTTCTTTAATTTTATTTCCTTCTTCATCCCGGCGTATCCTCCATCTTATAGTATTTTCTACCTGGTTAAAAACCCAAAGGCATTGGTTAGTTAAACCAGTTTAACTAAATGTTCTTCTTTCTTCAGGTGATTTATAATCATGTGTAAAGACTTGATAGGTAATGATAGAGTGAGCTTACAAAAACTGATTCAGCACAACTGAAACCTACCTGCTACATATACCTAGAGATGTTGGTTAAACTAGCCAGACATTTTCTTCAAATCTTTTCTGAGCTCCAGTTCATATCAGTGGAAGCAGGAGCTAAGTAGCATGCAGGCCAGAGGTGTTATCAAACAAGACACATGAAGAACTCCAAAGGAGACAGCATGAGGCTTTGGGTCCACATGAGGTAGAGAGTTAAAATGAGACCTCTGCCTATGGCAGGGCCACTTGAAGATGAACCCAATGAAAGACGGGCGAAAAAGTGCCCCGTTCACCTAGTGAGACAGGGAAGCTCTGGGCATGAAATTACAATTTTTAAAAAAGAATAACGAATTAAAAAATTAAAACATGAGATCAGTGCTTTGCCCTGTTTTTGAGTCTAAATTTATTCTACCCATATGGTGGAAAGTAACAACAACAATAACAATTTCCCCTGCCCAGTGCTACCACTGGGGCCCCGGTAGAAACTCATAGGCAATCCTGTCGCCAGGTGTGGTGGTGTGCATCTGTACCCAGCTACTCGGGAGGCTGAGGTGGGAAGATCGCTTGAGCCCAGGAGTTTGAGACCATTCTGGGAAAAACAGCAAGGCCCATCTCAAAAAAAAAAACAAAAAAAACAAAAAAAAACCCACACAAAAGTTTTAAATTTAAAAAAAAATTTGTTTTAAAGGAAACCCCCTTAAGGAAGAACAACATGCCTGTGAAAGCAGTTGGTAGTGCTTTGCTGTCTCAGGCCTTCAAGAGAGGAACCACCTAATGACAAGTTCTCTTTTGTGCATAGTTTGAATATCCATGAAGAGTTGAGACATTTCTATTGTGGGAAATCACCAGGATCTACCCACTGTAAAATGTGGAGTCAATTCCATATGCCTTATTATTATTTATCCTGAAGGAAGTAGCTAACAATTTTCAAAAATGTTTATCTTTACTTATGTCAAAAAAAGCATAACTGCAACCAAAAGAAGAAAGTGACAATTCTACAGGGATAAAAAAGGGCACATACCTCCTCCCATAAAAATATTCTGAAAAGGTATTTTAATTCCTAGGTCTAAAGAGCTATTGAACAAGAAACATAAGAGGATTTCCCAAGCTCAAGTCTCACGTTGTCATCCCTGCTTTACTTTATAAAAGGAAAAACTTAAAAGGAATAAAGTGTGGGATGGTACCTTTAATTTTAACCTGATTCTGTCTTCCTCGTCAAGCACTTTCTCATCTTCAAATTCATCTTCATAAAACTGAGGATCAAAAGGCCTACAAATTGTGTTTTTAACATCATGTTAGCCATATTTAGTAAGGAATATGATTAATATTATATTTAATCATCCCTACAAGGTATCCCCATGTGTTTCCAAAAATCACAGTACACAAATAACTTCATGTAAACCTTCAAAGAAGTATGCAAAGTACCATGCTTTCTTGAAATTTGTTTCTAAAACATATTGCCTGAAATAAAATTCAAATGCAACTAACAATTCAAAATGTTATTTGATGAAATATGTCTTCCAAAGTATAGGTAACACATGGTCTTCCCATATTTTTTAAAGAAAATGTGTTAAGCACAAGAGCTTGCATGCATGTACCTTAGTGAATCATACCCACTGACACTATTTTGTAGTACAAAATAATTGTCTTTTCTAGATTCACAATGGCTTTTGCATTGAACATTTGTGATTTTTTTTTTTTTTTTTTTAGGCAGAGTCTCTCTCACTCTGTTACCCAGGCTGGAGTGCAGTGGCACAATCTCAGCTCACTGCAACCTCCATCTCCTGGATTTGAGAGATTCTCACGCCTCAGCCTCCCAAGTAGCTGGGATTATAGGCGTGTGCCACCACGCCCGGCTAATTTTTGTATTTTTAGTGGAGACGGGGTTTCACCATTTTGCCCAGGCTAGTCTCAAACTTCTGACCTCAAGTGATCTGCCCGCCTTGGCCTCCCAAAGTGGTGGGATTACAGGCATGAGCCGCCGTACCCGGCCACAACATTTGTGATTTCTCTAGCAGACTTTGTCACTCTTATTTTCTGATTTGTCAGCTTTATACTAGGGAGAAACACCTTCATCCATTGTGATCTGTTTATGTAAAAGAAAGTGCCAAAATGCTAGAAAAATTATTAGCATTAAAATTCTCTCTCAATAGTGATTCATTTTTCTACCACAGCACATCCTAGATTTATTTTTTTCAAAGTTATATGAGAAATCTCCCATCTTTGTGATTAGTAAACTCATGATAAATAAGAAAAAAATATTTATTCTACACATATTTTTAATATCTTGAAAATTTTAATCAGTCCTCTTACTTGGGTTCTATACTGAGAAACTTGGGTAATTTAACAAAATACAATTCATTTCCTAAATCAGAGTTGATACTGGGAATTTCTTCTTCTATTATGGTTTCAGAAATTGGCTCTTCCTCCTGCTGGTCCTGAGGCACTCCATGTTCATCCTAAGAAAGGAATCAGAATGTGAGAGCTTGGAGACATTAGAAATGTGCTAGCTGTACTCGTCCTGCACTAGGCAGATGCAGGTTTGACAGGAAGTAATGTTTGTTTGTTTGTTTGTTTTTTATAGAGTCTTCACTCTGTCCCCTAGGCTGGAGTGCAGTGGTGTGATCTCGGCTCACTGCAACCTCTACCTCCCTGGTTCAAACGATTCTCCCACCTCAGCCTCCTGAGTAGCTGAAATTACAGGCCTGCACCACCATGCCTGGCTAATTTTTGTGTTTTTAGTAGAGACGGGGTTTCACCATGTTGGTCAGACTGGTCTCAAACTCCTGACCTCAGGCGATCTGCCCACCTTGGCCTCCCAAAGTGCTGGGATTATAGGCCTGAGCTAGCGCGCCTGGCTGGGAAGTAAATTTACATTCCACTTTAGGGACAAAACAGTCAGCAATTCTTCCAAGCTTCTCCCTAAAACCTCACCTCATGCCTACAAAAAGCAAAACAGGCTGGGCGTGGTGACTCTTGTCTGTAATCTTTGAAACTTCGTCTCAAAGAAAAAAAAGCAAGACAAAACCAAACAGAAAAAAAACACGGGAAAACAGGATCCGTTAGCCAACATTAGAAAAAAGTATCTATTTTATTGATGTATTTTGCATAACATATTCAGCAACAGAAGTATGAAATTATTCACCCCATCAATACTAGACAACTATTAAAATCAGAGAATATCAGCATCGCTCATGCTTCTTGTCATAGGCTTGAATAAGAAAAACCTTTAAATCAAAGGTTTTTATGTTATGTATTATATTTTTATATTGTTTTATATTAGTCTAGCCCCTAAAGTTTGGCATCAGCTTTATTCTGAGTAGTTCCTTCTGTGCCTTCTTATATCCAGAAATTCCCAATATAGCTAAGAAAGTCACCTATTCATCAGATGTTTGGCTATCCACATCCTCTCTCAACATGAGACAGACCCATCAGCCTCTGAAGCTTTCTTTTTTTAGCTTTGAATAATGGGATTGGTTGATATTGGTGATTGTACTTACAACCAGCTGTCGTGGAGTAGGTGGTTGATTGCCCTCATCACTCTCAGAAGAAATGTCATCTATATCTCCAAACAGATCCATGGTCCCACTAGGATCTTTGGTGTTGGGGGAAAATGCACAGTATTAATTTTTCCAACTAAAGTTCTTATACACAGTTCTTGGTCCACCACTTCAACATAGTCCCAAGCTTCATAAAACAAATCTCCATTAAACCAACCTCAAACTGGCTCCCTAAGCCAGGTTTTCAGAAGCTTAACTAACTAGAGTGTCTTTGGAGAAAGAAGGAGGCAGAGTTGGTGGGTGAAAGGTAAGCCATTCCTGAATTCCTAATCCTCAGAATCAGCATGATAATAGTAAATGCTTGTTGTTGTTAAGTGCTGAATTTGAGAGTGATTTGTTTTCAGGTTTTTTTTTTTTTTTTTGAGACGGAGTCTCGCTCAGTCGCCCAGGCTGGAGTACAGTGGTACGATCTCGGCTCACTGCAAGCTCCGCCTCCTAGGTTCAAACGATTCTCCTGCCTCAGCCTCCAGAGCAGCTAGGATTACCAGCGTGCGCCACCACACCCAGCTAATTTTTGTATTTTTAGTAGAGACAGTATTTTACCATGTTGGCCAGGCTGGTCCTGAACTGCTGGCCTCAAGTAATCCACCTTCCTCGGCCTCCCACAGTGCTGGGATTACAGGTGTGAGCCACCACACCCAGCCTAATTTGTGTCAAATCTTAAATCATTTGGCAAAGTACACATGAGCACATAGTATTTCATTCAGTTGGAGTTTCTTGGGTGTTTTCTTTAAGATATTTGCAGTTGCTGCCCCTTTCTTAAACTCTGGGTACTGGAATCTTTTTAATTCTCAATATGAGTAGAGCTTTCTGAGCTGTAAATTAAATGGGAACTTGGCCTGCATGGCCACTGTGTATGGCCCAGAGCTGAGCAGACAGCCATAGTCATTTTATTATTTGCATACTGGGGACTGAACAAATGAGTAAATAAATTGAGGATATTTGAAACCAGGCTTTTTGCTTTTGGAGAAGGGGACAGAAGAGACAATTCAGCAAGAATCTGTATTAAGGGAGCCTGAGCCACCTATACAAGAAACCTTCTCATGCCTTCTAGACCTTATTGAGCCCAGATGATAGATTGGTAAAAGATTGCCATACATATGCCCAATCTTACAGCTTCCTGGGACAGAAAATGCCCAGTTCATTCTGAGAAGCTCAGCCTGTGTGGTTACTTGATGTTCCATGATTAAGTGTTAAAAGGGACTGTCTAGGCCAGGTGTGGTGCCTCACGTCTGTAATCCCAGCACTTTGGGAGGCCGAGACGGGCGGATCATGAGGTCAGGAGATCAAGACTCCGTCTCCAAAAAAAAAAAAAAAAAAACGACTGTCTACAGAAGAGGACGTGGATATGTTTCAAATCCCTAGAGACCTGTACTCAGTTCTCTTGCTGATTCTAACCACAGGGTTCAGACAGCAGTGATATTTGCCACAGACACACTAAGCATTATCAGATATGCTGGGTTATTAGGCCGAAGTGGAAGAGCAGTTTGCCCTGTAACCTGGAATTACTGCAAAACAGTCTCTTATTCTGGTCCTCACTTAAAACAGGTAGTATCTCTGCCTTACTTGGCAAAAGGTCAAAGTGCACAATGAAATAAAGTGTACATTGGCTCCTAAATCCAGAAAGATCCACCAAGCATTATTTTGCACTGGTAGGTGGTTTAAGGTACAGCACCATATCCTTCATTTTGGAGGGGCTATCCAGACATGCTCCAGACCATTAGTCCCCCAGAAACTTCACTGAGGTGGCATGCCCCTAAATTTTGATGGGGATTATCTCCCACTCTGTGGTTTACACGCTGAGGGCTGATTACTAAGGCATCTAAAGTACAGTTATTTCCTACTCATCAGATCAGATACCATCAGCATAATGTCATCGCTGCAGTGGACCAGTGTGACATGTGGAACATCAAGATGGTCAGGAGTTTTGCAGACTCCATATGGCAAAGTATATAGGTAAGTCCATGTAGCTGTGAGGCAAGATTGTTGCCTCAGACCAAAGGGTTTCATTGGTCTAGTAAGGGGTACCATTGGTCTAATGAGGGGTGCCATTGGTCTAAAAAGTAAAAGCGAACTGTTTCTGTTTGTCCTTACATATTAATATGAAGGGGAAAAAAGCATTTGCCCAGGCTGGTCTTGAACTCCTGACCTCAGGTGATCCACCCACCTTGGCCTTCCAAAGTGCTCAGATTATAGGTGTGAGCCACCACACCTGGCCCTGCCTACAGCTTTTGAAGGATACATGTCCTCCTCTGCTTAATGTATTTCTCACTTTCCTTGTGACCCAGCCTGGATGACAGAATGAAACTGTCTCAAAGAAATATATATGAAATAGCAGCTGCTAATATAGTCATTATTTGATTCGGTATAAGATAACCAGTCATTTCCAAGATCAATCTGCCAATAGGCCATACAGGTGAGATAAATGAGGGATGTGGCTAGGTGCAGTGACTCATGCCTGTAATCCCAGCACTTTGGGAGGCTGAGGCAGGCAAATCACCTGAGGTCAGGAGTTCTACAGCAGCTTGACCAACATAGTGAAACCCTATCTCTACTAAAAATATAAAAAAACTAGCCAGGCTTGGTGGCGTGTGTCTGTAATCCCAGCTATTCGGGAAGCTGAGCCAGGAGAATCACTTAAACCTGGGAGGCGGAGGTTGCAGTGGGCTGAGATCGCACTACTGCACTCCAGCCTGGGCGATGCAGCGAGACTGTCTCAAAAACAAATACATAAAGAGCGAGACTCTGTCTCATAAATAAATAATATAAATTAATGAATAAATAAATGGGGGATGTAAGAGGTATCATCACCTCTGCTTCTTTCAAGTCTTTGATGGTATCATTCATCTTTGCAATTCCCCCAAGCATGCAGTGTTGTTTTTGGTTTATTATCCTGGTGAGAAAAATAAGTTCCAGGGGCTTCCACTTGGTCCTTTCTACTTTTTAATGGTACTTCATGGATCAGAAGACAATGTGGGGAATTTCTCAGTTGACAAAATATACCTATTCCAATCATATATTTAAGAACTGGGGAAACCACAAGGTGGGTCAGTAAATCTGGAGGGCATACTGTGAGTTGAACTTGGGCTAAAACTCCATCTATCACCTGACCACTGTCAGTCTCCACTTGGTATTTAGTGGAGTATTTGAGGTTCTAGGAGTGAGCATCAACTGAGCCAGTATCTAGTAGTCCTCCAACTCTGGGTATTTCCTTTCCCCAGTTTGTAGTCTACTCTAGTAAAGGAGATAATCTGACTCATCATGATACCAATGGACACCATGGGCTACCAGCATCCCCCTGCTCATTGGTGGGGAGCTCAGAATTGCACTCAAACCCAAACCAACCCCTAAACTCCATCTTTGAGGATTTGTTGCCTTGACCACCTAGTCAGGTTCTAGTCAGGGAACAGAAAACACACCAGTTGTCTGTACAGCTGTACAGACATAATTTAATATTTTAAAGTTGCAATTGGGTTTAAAGTTGTGGACTAGGTTACTGAAAGTATAAAAAGAGGAACTCTGAGGGTTCACAGAGGTAGCAGATGCAAAGAACAGCTTCCACCTGTGGGGCTGATAGGGAAAAGGGGGGATTATAAAAACTTAAAACACTTACATAAAGGGCCCCCCTGGAGCTTAACTCATACCTGAGGAAAAGCTGCTGCCCAGCTGGTCCTGATGTCTCTCGGGGGGAAAATGAAGCTGGCTCTGCAAGTGCTGGCAAAACTGCAAACTGGACTCTGCAGCTGCAGAAAGGCTCTGCCTCTGCTCAGGTGAAGAAGTGTTGGTGGGTCCTCTCAGAAAATGCAGTCAACAGGAAGCCCCCAGAAAGTTCCATAAGCAAACAGGAAGGAGCAATCCCTTCTTAGTTCTCCAGGCTTCCAGTCTTCCTTTGGCGCCCCCTAACAGGGGGCAGCTGGCGAAGCTCAACTCTGGTCTGTGGACTCCTGGCCCCAGCACCTCCGTGCCAGGTACAGAAGAGTAGGTTTGGAGAAGAGACAAGAGCTTAACAACTGACACAGGTGTCTACTGGTAACATGTTTAAAACAAACACACAAAATTGTGTTGCCTTGGAGGGAGTGGAGTCAGAATGAAGGCTCTTAAAAACCAGGTAGAGGGGTTTCCATTTGATAAGCCAGGAAATAGCTGGCACTGAAGATTTCTGAGTTAGGAAAGTGACATGATGATGACTTAGGCCTCCCCTCTCTTGATGTCACTTTTCTTTATCTATAACCAGGCTTCAGGGTAAGCCTCCCACAACTGCCACTCTCAGTTTGGACTAATAGCACCAGGAAGAAAGATGAGTCAAAGTAGAGGCTGTCAGTAAGGACAAGATTAGTGTATGCAGAAGAGCTCCACAGAGAAGGCAAATATGTGTGTGGTGGATTTCAAACATACCTGCAGATTCTTTGCCATTCTTCCAATCAAGAGGAATCAAATTCCCCTCCCTTTGTATTTTTTGTTTTTTAAGACAGAGTCTCACTCTTGTCACCCAGGCTGGAGTGCACTGGCAGGATCTCGGCTCACTGCAACCTCTGCCTCCTGGGTTCAAACAATTCTCCTGCGTCAGCCTCCCGAGTAGCTAGGATTACAGCCATGTGCCACCATACCCGGCTAATTTTGTATTTTTAGTAGAGACGGGGTTTCACCGTGTTAGCCAGGATGGTCTCGATGTCCTGACCTCAAGTGATGCCTACCTCGGCATCCCAAAGTGCTAGGATTACAGGATAGCCACCGCGCCCAGCCCAGATCCCGTCTTCATTTAAAATTTTGACATTTTGTTCATCATGGATTTTTTTGACATTAATTTTGAATACAACTTTAAAAATTACATTACAACAATATTTATCATGGTTATCATTGTGGATTGAATAGTGACCCACCCCCCACACCCCACTGAATCCATGTCTACCCACAACTTCAGTATGTGACCTTATTTGGAAATAGAGAATTTTGCACATGTAATTCGTTAAGATGATATCACACCAGATTAGAGTTGGCCCTAAATCCAATGAATGATGTCCTTATGAACAGAGGGAGATCTGGAGATACTGAGACCCGGAACAGAGACACGAGGAAGGTCATGTGAAGACAGAGGCAGAGTCTGAAGTCATACTGTCAAAAGCCACAGATTGCGAGGAACTACCAGAAACTGAGAGGCAAGGAAGGATCCCTGCCAAGAATCTTCAGAGGCAGCATGGCCCTCCCACAGCTTGATTTTAGACTCCAAGTCTCCAGAATTGTGAGAGAATCTCAGCCTGGCCAGAAGGCTTCTTTGTGGGGAATGAGAGGTAAGGGGGTTGAGAGAGCAGCAGGAATTCACTGAGACCTAAGACTTTGTGTAAAGCATTAACAAAATCAGTTTGCTTTGGGAAAAGTAGATTCTTTTTTTTTCTTTTCTTTTCTTTTTTTGAGATAGTGTTGCTCTATCGCCAGGCTGGAGTGCAGTGGCACGATCTCGGCTAACTGCAACCTCTGCCTCCCGGGTTCGAGCGATTCCCCTGCCTCAGCCTCCTGAGTAGCTGGGACTACAGGCGCATGCCACCATGACTTTGTGATCCACCCGCCTCGGCCTTCCAAAGTGCTGGGATTACAGGCATGAGCCACCACACCTGGCCGGAAAAGTAGATTTCTTGAACAGAGACTTGCTTTTAAATTGTTTTATTACAATTAAAATTACACAAAAGCAAATCGATTCATTTCAATCAAAATAACTCATGTTTACATATTTATAACTGTACAATAAAATATATAAAATGTTTTCATATTTCATACTTCAATCATCTTCTTCTTCTTCTTCATCACTGATCACGTACTTCTTATGCTTTTTATTTGCTTTATCATCATCTTCTGCTTTTCTCTTTCCAGAAGGTTCACCCTCCTAAACAGATACAATTTTTACAAATCTACAAGTCAATAAAGAACATTTTTAGGATGGTTTATCAAAAGTAGCTATGAGCTGAATGACCCTCTGACAACTCAAAGTAACTGTTCCTGCAGATTGTGAGGGAGATTGTGAGGTGTCAGCAACTGTGAGCTAATCTCGCACAGGGAAACCTTTGAACACAGAGCAGGATGTGCAGGAAACTGGAGACAGGATTTGCCACAGAAGGGGCGGGGCTCTCCCAAAAGTTCTGCCTGTCTAATCACTGGTCCTGTCAGGATATTTTTACCATGATCAGGTAATTTCTCAAACTTTTTTTCTCTGCCTCCTCAGCATTTCACTTCTTTTCATTATCTAAAATCCAGTATTTTAAAGACTGTTGATTTGGGTTTTTTTGGAACAATTTGTTTCAATGCATTAAAAACTCACATCATAAAGGTTTTTAAGAAAATATTTCATGACATTAAAGGGCATCTATACACAAGTTTCCTCTGTTTAAAATCATTCTGTACAAATGTTCTAACAGAAACAAATAATTTAGGAAGTTATCTAAAAAACATTTTTTACAGATAGAATTTGAACATGTCAGTATCTAAGTGTCAAATACTGATTAAAATAAACTGACACTAAGTGGGATGGGCTGGGCACGATGGCTCATGCCTGTAATCCTAGCACTTTGGGAGGCCAAAGGGGGTGGATCACCTGAGGTCAGGAGTTTGAAACCAGCCTGGCCAACATGGCAAAACTCCATTTCTACTAAAAATACAAAAATTAGCCAGGTGTGGTGGCACGCGCCTGTAATCCCAGCTACTTAAGAGACTGAAGCAGGAGAATCGCTTGAACCCAGGAGATAAAGGCTGCAGTAAGCTGAGATCGCGCCAATATATTCCAGCCTGGGCAACAGAGCAAGCAAGACTCTGTCTCAAAAATAAATAAAAATTAAAAATTAAATGGTATGAACAAACGGTTTGAAGGTTGAAGTTAGGGAAAGCCAGACATCTTGCTGCTGTGACCACAGGCTGCTAGATGTAGAATGCAACCTGGTATGCCCACTTTTTTCTGATGGTTCTCATGGCTGGCCCTCTGACAGACAAGATAGCATCTCACACTTGTTTTCTGCCTTGTTATCCCAAATACATTCCCACAGACCTGAAAGGCCATAGGAGAATTCAAAGGGGGGAAGTTATGAATCCATAGTAAGGGATTTAGAGAAGTCCTCCTCCTCCATTTACTTCCCAGCTGGCAGCAGGGAAATTACCTAAACAGCAACACTGAAAGATCCTGCCCCCAAGAAGGAACAAGAGCCCCTCCTGTCTACTCTACAGGCTAGAGCAAACCCAAATACTTCTCTCCCAGCCCCACAGGCAAAGAGCACATTCAATCACACTACTTGTCTTTTAATTTTCAAAGGAAAAATCTTATCTTAAACATTTTACATGCAATCACTATTTTTTGGTAACCTTCCAAAAATGAGCCTTGGTGCGTTTGTCTTTTCAGCTCTAAAATCCTTTAAGGAGATGAAATTTGAATCACTAAAAGAACTAGCATGGTAATTCTAAAAGATGGTCCAGCCTGTCCTAAAGGTCCCTGGACAGCAGCAGCCAGGAGATGGCCAGGTCTCTCCCAAAGAAGTCCCACTGGCACCAGTCCTAATCCATCCTCTGGAGTGAGAAGCTGTGCAATTCTGCTTTGGAAAGCCTGCCAAGGACTGGCTGGGCGCGATGGCTCATGCCTGTAATCCCAGCACTTTGGGAGGCTGAGACCAGCAGATCACAGGTCAGGAGTTTGAAAGCAGCCTGACCAAGATGGTGAAACCCCGTCTGCATGAAAAATACAAAAAATTAGCCAGATGTGGTGTGCGCCTGTAGTCCCAGCTACTCAGGAGGCTGAGGCAGGAGAATCACTTGAACCCGGGAGGTGGAGGTTGCAGTGGGCAGAAATCATGCCACTGCTCTCCAGCCTGGGCAACAGAGCGAGACTCCGTCTCAAAAAAAAAAAAAGTCTGAGTGTGCGTGGCTCATGCCTGTAATCCCAGCACTTGGGAGGCCAAAGACAGGCGGACTATGAGCTCAGGAGTTCAAGACCAGCCTGGCCAACATGGTGAAACCCATCTCTACTAAAACTACAAAAAAATTAGCTGGCATGGAAGCAGGCACCTGTAATCCCAGCTACTTGGGAGGCTGAGGCAGGGGAATTGCTTGAACCCAGGAGGCGGAAGTTGCAGTGAGCCGAGACCACGCTGCTGCACTCTAGCCCGTGAGACGGAGCAGGACTCCATCTCATTAAAAAAAAAAAAAAAAAAAAAGCCTGCCAAGGGACTGGACTTCTCTGGCAGCTACACATAAGCACAGAAAAACACAACGAAGGGAATGGCGCATGGCTCATGCCTGTAATCCCAGGGCTTTGGGAGGCCAAAGCAGGAGAATCACTTGAGGCCAGGAGTTTGAGTGAGACCAACCAGGGCAACATGGTAAGACATCTGTCTTCACCAAAAAAAAAATAATAATAATTGTTACAAAAAAAATTTTAATAAATAATAAGGTCACGTGTCGCTCGTGCCTATAATCCTAGCACTTTGAGAGGCTGCGGAAGGCAGATTACTTGAGGTCAGAAGTTAGAGACCAGCCTGGCCAACATGGTGAAACCCTGTCTCTACTAAAAAATACAAAAATTAGCTGGGCGTGGATTTGGAGGCTGAGGCAGGAGAATTACTTGAACCCAGGAGGCAGAGTATGCAGTGAGCCGAGATTGCAGTGCTGCACTCCAGCCTGGGCAACAGAGCAAGACTCCATCTCAAACAAACAAATAAATAAATAAGCAAGCCAGCCAGTCAGCCATCACACAGAGCAAAGGTGTATAGTTTCTCAGACTCCCAGGACTTAGAAAGGTGACAGAAGCCTTCAGGATGTGGGATGCTGCCTTACTGAACATAACTGGAATGGATCCCAGTGTCATATATAAATGCAGTAAATGACAAAAATATGTTTATTAAGTCTAAAAGAAAGCTTGCTAATACAGTCACGAATGCAGGTCCCTGTAGGTACAGAAACAGTCCACAGTTATGAAGATAAGGCAGGGTTGTCAGAGGGGAAATGGAGTCTCAAGAGGGAGAGCTGGAGAAAGAGACACAGAGAGAAGGCTGCCTGGCACCATGTTCTAACTAATCCTTCACAGCAGGTACCTCTTTTGTCTAAGAAGCCGAGGGTTGGCCTTGATACCTCTCCCTTCCACTGTCTCCATGTTTCTTTCAGTTCGGGCCTTTCCCTTTTCCCAGACTCCTGGAGAACAGAGTACCAGCACACGGTTTCTCCCCCTACCTGTTTATCTAGATCTTTGAGGTAATTGAGGTTTTGTAAAGTTTTAACTACTTAAAAAAATGAGGGAGAATAAAAAGCTCTCCTTTACATTTTTCTTCTTTTTGGTAACTTAGACTCTGTTGGAAAAGGGAAAATAGTATTTCTTGTTCAGCTACTACATATTGTGTTACTTTCAAATCTGTTGTTTATTAATACTGTAATACAACATTTTTACAAGACAGGGAGCATAAACTCCATTGATCAGATGAGGAGATAGACTCAGAAATACGAGATGACTGGCCCAAAGCCATACAAGTGGGAAAGGGTAGCACCAAAATCGATGCAGTTCACTCTACTATAGACTGGCCCTCACCTCCATTTCAAGGCATGCTATGATGATAATGGTGTTCTCTGGGCTGTGGACCTGGGGTCTGAAAACTCCCCTTAATATCAGAGGCATACCCAGGCTCCTGATGTTTGGGTGGGCTTTAGTGTGCAAAGAACAGAGAGGGACTTAGAACAGGAATGCTCCCATTCCTTCTTCCATTGTAACGCATGACCAGGACTCACACTAGGGTAACATGAAGAGGCAGTGGCAGGGGTTGAGAGGTCCAGGAAGAAGTAAAATCTTTGTTGTCAGGGCAGGCAAGGGAAGAGTGCAGGAAGACCTGAAAGAGAGTATTTGGATAAGGGAGGTAGAGGGTGGTTCCTGTAATAGCTAGGTGGCCATTCCCAAGAGGCATTTTTAAGTCAGGCAGTATAGGTTTGCAACTGCCCAGCCTAGAAGAAGGCTATCTGATGGATCACTTTAAAAAAAAAAAAAAAAAAAACTCACTTCTGAGAATACTAGGAATAGACAGAAGTCCCATGATACTTCTCAATTTTCATTCACAGTTTCTATTTGCCAAGAAAAAGATAGCATCTGCTTAGATGAGGACTCACGTTTGCCAACAGTTCAGCACTATAAATGTATCATTAAGATGTTGCCTCATCTAATTTAAAACAAGTATGTTGCAGAACAATGAAACAAATTTTGGCCAGGCGCAGTGGCTCACACCTGTAATCCCAGCACTTTGGGAGGCCAAGGCAGGTGGATCGTCTGATGTCAGGAGTTTGAGACCAGCCTGACCAACATGGCAAAACCCCGTCTCTACTAAAAATACAAAAATTAGCTGGGCATGGTGGCAGGTGCCTATAATCCCAACTACTAGGAAGGCTGAGGCAGGAGAATTGCTTGAACCCAGGAGGTGAAGGCTGCAGTGAGCCAAGATGGCACCACTGCAGTGCAGCCTGGGC